TATTGTAGATAGTTCTGGGGCATTTCCGGGGGTAGCCACCCAATTATCTGAGAGTCATAGAAGCTCTTGTGTTTGATCCAGTATCTTTGCTGAGGATCCACTGGATTCCATGCAAGTTTTATAAACAGCTTTTTAAGAAGGAAGGTGATATTGGAAATCTGAAATAAAATCAGAAAATGCTCAGCAAATCAGGTAAAACTAACAAAGAGAAATAGAGTTGGCATTTTAGGCATACATATCATGTTCTTACATCTGATGACAGATTGTCAGCAACAATGTGCCTAGATGGGTTTTTCCTAACAATCAAGAATGATTTCATGGTCATCAATAGGCTCTTAATTTCAGATTTTTATTGAACTAAAGTTCTACCATTTGTAAAACTGAACCTGAATTGCCAGAATATTACCTGGGTCTCTGAATTAATACCATGAGTCCCTCACCTCCACATTCATATTAGCAGTGATAGATGATTGGCTAACTAATAGAAGAGAGAAAGTTGAAAAGGGTGCATTTTTAAAAATTTATTCATTTGTGGGATGTGGGTTTTGCTGGATGACCAGTGTTTATTGCCTGTCCCTAGTTACCCTTGAGAAGATGGTGGTGAGCTGCCTTCTTGAACCACTGCAGTCCAAGTGTTATAGGTTGACCCACAATGCCCTTAAAGAGGAAATTGCTTGAGGTGGGAGGAGTGGATAGGTGGGAGGAAGGACAGGTTAGGGAGGCAGGGACGAGCTGGGCTGGTTTTGGGATGCGGTCGGGGGAGGGGAGATTTTGAAGCTTGTGAAGTCCACATTGATACCATTGGGCTGTAGGGTTCCCGTTGTGGCCTCCTCTACATCGGGGAAACCAAACGGAGGATTGGGGACCGCTTTGTGAAACATCTACGATCGGTTCGCAACAAACAACTGCACCTCCCAGTCGCGAACCATTTCAACTCCTCCTCCCGCTCCTTGAACGACATGTCCATCCTGGGCCTCCTGCAGTGCCACAATGATGCCACCTGAAGGTTGCAGGAACAGCAACTCATATTCCGCTTGGGAACCCTGCAGCCCAATGGCATCAATGTGGACTTCACAAGCTTCAAAATCTCCCCTCCCCGACCGCATCCCAAAACCAACCCAGCTCGTACCTGCCTCCCTAACCTGTCCTCCCACCTATCCACACTTCCCATCTCAAGCCCCACCCCCATCTCCTACCTACTAGCCTCATCCCGCCTCCTTGACCTGTCCATCCTCCCTGGACCGACTTATCCCTTCCTACCTCCCCACTTACACTCACCTTGACTGGCTCCATCCCCGCCTCTTTGACCTGTCTGTTTCCTCTCCACCTATCTTCTCCTCTATCCATCTTCTATCCGCCTCCCCCTCTCTCCCTATTTATTTCAGAATCCCCTTCCCCTCCCCCATTTCTGAAGAAGGGTCTAGACCCGAAACATCAGCCTTCCTGCTCCTCTGATGCTGCTTGGCCTGCTGTGTTCATCCAGCTCTACACCTTGTTACTTCAAAATTAGAGGTTGTTTGTATTGTTCAGTCGTAAAACACTGACTTTTTACACAAAAAAGGTAAGTGTCAAAAACTGTTTAAAAATAAATCACCAAAGCTATAGAAATTATTAACTTCAAACACACAGAAAACTCACATGTTACTTACTCAAAAACTAAAAGTCCAAACTTATGATAAACAATATTAAAACTGCATATTGCACAGACCACATCACCAGAGCTTTGTAGAAAAGTGTGGAGGACGAATGATATAGTAAGTGAGCCGGGCTGACTAGCTGTTCCAGACAGTTGGAGATCACAACAGGCAGAATGACGTCCTTTTGCATTGTACCCATCCCATGATTCTATACTTCAGGATGTTGCAATCACTGGCAAGTTACTCATTGCTGATGGCACCGAACAAGTGACTCTGAGCCCAGGTTTGGGAAAAGTCGGCTGAGAGACTTGCTACAGCAATTCACAGAAAAGTTAAGAGGTTAAGAGACAAGCTCTTGTGGGACTTGTAGTCACGTGTAGGCTGGACTGATTATGGATGACATGCTTCCTTCTTTAAAGGGCACTGATGAACCAGTTGCAACTCTGACTCACACTCACTCCTGCTGATTGCGTCACATGCTGGAAGAATTGAGACCGGGCCTTGTACAAGTGTAATTGAGATTAATCGTTAAACCCTGAATATCTCGGGGGTTTATCAGCCCTAAGAGGCATGTGAACACAATGCCGAATAATGTAAATAAAGATGCACGGTACTGGAAGGGTTAAATCCAGTTGGTTCTCACCAATATTCCTCCACATTCTCTGATGCTGGTGGATTATGTTCCTGCACAGAATGATCCTCATTACTGAAACCTGAGAGCAATAAAAGGCATTAGCTGAGCTTCCGGCAGGGTCAGACCAGCTGACGATCGATAAGAGACAAAGGGAGGTACACAAATGATGGGAGATAGTGTCGTACCCCTCCACAAGATTCCTGGTTAAGAATCTCCACAGTCAGGAGACAACTGTGGGGAATGGGGAGGGGGAAAACATGGAGGTAAAGGAGTTGCAGCCGCTGACAACCGTTGTAGTATCCAAATCATACTGACAGAAAGATGCACTGTGTGTCTGTGCGTGTGTGTCTGTCTGTGTTTGTGCGTATGTGTGTGTGTGTGTGACTGTCTGTCTGTCTGTGTTTGTGTTTGTGCGTGTGTGTGTGTGTGTGTCTGTGTTTGTGCATATGTGTGTGTGTGTGTCTGTGTTTGTGTGTGTGTGTGTGTCTGTGTTTGTGTGTGTGTGTGTGTGTCTGTCTGTGTTTGTGTTTGTGCGTGTGTGTGTCTGTCTGTGTTTTTGCGTATGTGTGTCTGTCTGTCTGTGTTTGTGTTTGTGCGTGTGTGTGTGTGTCTGTGTTTGTGCGTATGTGTGTGTGTGTGTGTGTCTGTCTTGTTTGTGCGTATGTGTGTGTGTCTGTGTTTGTGTTTGTGCGTGTGTGTGTGTGTCTGTCTGTGTTTGTGCGTGTGTGTGTGTGTCTGTCCGTGTTTGTGTGAGTGTGCGTGTGTGTGTGTGTCTATCTGTCTGTCTGTGTTTGTGTTTGTACGTGTGTGTGTGCGTGTGTGTATGTGTGTCTGTCTGTCTGTGTGTTTGTGTGTGTGTGTGTGTATGTGTGTCTGTCTGTCTGTCTGTGTTTGTGTGCAAGTGTGTGTGTCTGTGTCCGTGTTTGTGTTTGTGCGTGCATGTATGTGTGTGTGTGTCAGTCTGTGTTTATGCGTGTGTGTCAAAATATCTCTGAACAATTTGATTAAAATTATTTATAACCAGTCTCATTTTGAGGAGAGAATTTCACTGGAATTGCCAAATCACAGTCTTATGTTTGCCTTCAGTGGTCAGTGCATTGAGTGTAGGATTTGGGAGATCATGTTGTTGCTGTACAGGACTTTGGTTAGGCCACTTGTGGAATATTGTGTACAATTCTGTTCTCCCTGCTATAGGAATGATGTTGCGAATTTAGAAAGGGTTCAGAAAAGATTTACAAGGATGTAAATAACACAGTGCTACTAAGTAGAATAGTCTGTACATACTACATAACCCACTGTGTACCAGATAGAATATTCTCATTACGTAACTGATGGGACAGTTTGCAAGGCTTCTAACACAGACTCCTGCTTGAGTGATCTTTGGGTCAATGGCAGGATTTATGCATCATTCAGCGAAACTTTCCAACGCACAATGGTCTGTATTCTATCTCAATACCCTCTTGGACATTATTGATCTAGACTGCCCTATTCACTGGGGACCTGTCACGGATTATATCCAGATGTATCAACGAGACTGAGAGGTGTTCAGGTCCCGACTGATAAAACTGGTCAGATCACACTTACCAGTAAATGAAATTCCATTGTTAGCCCCAGCCTCAAATAGCCACTGGGCAAAGCTGGAGGCATTTACACTCATAGAGTTGTACAGCACAGAAACAGGCTCTTCAGTCCAACTTGTCCATGCTGACCAGGTATTCTAAATAAATCTAGTCCCATTTTAACAGCATTTGGCCCATATCCCTCTAACCCCTTCCTATTCATTTACCCATCCAGATGCCTTTTAAATGTTATACTTGTACCAGCCTCCAACACTTCCTCTGGCAGCTCATTCCATACACGCACCACCCTCTGCGTGAAAAAGTTGCCCTTAAGCTCCTTTTAATCTTTCTCCCTCACCTTAAAAGTATGCCCTCTAGTTTTGGACTTCCCCACCCTAGTAGAAAACTCCCAATCTATTTACCTTATTCATGCCGCTCATGATTTTATAAACCTTTATAAGATCACCCCTCAGCCTCCAATTCTGCAGAGAAAATAGCCCTGGCCTATTCAGCCTCTCCCTATAGCTCAAACCCTCCAATCCTGGCAACATCCTAATAAATCTTTTCTCAACCCATTCAAGTTTCACAACATGCTTCCCGTAGCTGGGAGACCAGAATTGCACGCAGTATTCCAAAAGTGGCCTAACCAATGTCCTGTACAGCTGCAACACGACCTCCCATCTCCTATACTCAGTGTACTGGCCAATAAAGGCAAGCATACCAAATGCCTTCTTCACTATCCTGTCTACCTGGGACTCTACTTTCAAGGAGCTCTGAGCCTGCATTCCAAAGTCTTTTTGTTCAACAATCAGTCCCCAGGACCTTACCACTAAGTGTATTAGTCCTGCCCTGATTTGCCTTTCCAAAATTGCAGAATCTCGTATCTATCTAAATGAAATGCCATCTGCCACTCCTCAGCCCATTGGCCCAGCTGATCAAGTTCTCTGAGGTAACCTTCTTCACTGTCCACTACACCACCAATTTTGGTGTCATCTGCAGACTTCCTAACAATACCCAGCTATGCTCACATCCAAATCATTTATATAAATTCTGACCAACAGTCTCTGGACTCGAAACGCTTGCCAGTAATTTCTGTTTTTGTTTCAGATTTATGGCATCTGCAGTTCTTTGTTTTACTTTACTGACCATTGTTTTCTTTTCTTCCTGCAGATTCTTCTTAAAATTCTTCCTAAAGTGTAATCAAAATTGTTTGAAAAACGCTGGGAATCCAAGAGACATGCGACGGTTCCAGGTAGAATTTGATTGTTAATTTATTGGATTGAGTTGAACTGTGTTTACTGAGGATTAAAAGCAGAATGGCAAGGTACTGGGAGGAAGAAAAGGCCAATTAAACTCAGGGTGACCCATAGCACTTTGCATCCAATGGAGTATATTTTTGTAGGGCAGTCACGGTTATAAATTGGCAATCAGTTCATACTCGGTGAGCTCTTGCACAAACAGGAAGGTGATAATGACTAGATAATCTCTTTTCTCTTTGGCAATGTTGATTGAGGGATGAATGATGCCTCAGAATTCAGAGGAGAACTCCGTTCCTGATGTCTTTTACAGCCGCTGGAGGGAATTTAGCACCTTATTTGAAAGATAGCCACAGCAGCAGTGAAATCCCCATGAGCGCTGTGCTGTAGTTTCCTGCTGGATTTTGTGCTCGTGTCTCTGGAGTTGGACGTGAATCCATGACTGAGGTGCTACCAAAAGTGGTTTGGTACGTGCTTCAAGTTGAAGATATTCGTGCACGGAATGAAGGAGATGATATTAAAGCTCACTGTCTATAAATCAGGGCAGGAAGAAGCAGCTCAAGAAGAGGGCAACATCTTCTTTGTTTGCCCTTCCTTGAACACTACCCATGGATTAAGGTACTGTCCTCAATCCTGCAATTCTGTCCAGAGCCAATAGATAGGATATGTATCAGACAGAAGACTTTAACACTTGTGTTCACTACGGTCCTTCCCAAGAATTGACCTGCATTTTACTGCCGTGGTGAATTTGTTGGTATCATGAGGAAATGGGGAACTTGTTTATTTTATACCAAAATAGTGAATTCACGTGTTATTGTAAGACCTGGGGATTGATATCTGTACTAGGTAAGGAAGTAGTCATTCTATATTGTCTTGAACTTTTGAACTTTTTTGGTGGGGACGTCTTCCACACATCATGACGAGATTTGGAATGGATTGCTGCACCAGTGAACATATCAGTAAACCTTGGAGAGTACCCTAAAATAGGGCAATTCATTGACAAAATATTACAATGGTTTGTGTATTTCAATGTGTTAGTGCAAACAGGATTCCAAAAGCCCATGAGGAGCAGCTATCCAGAATTAGCAGATGATGGAAGGAGAAAATGCCAAGCCCACTGGGCTGTGCTCATCTGGGCAATTCCTGTGTGGTTGATGAAGGGAAAGGACAAGGGGACATGATCTGGTTCACCCTATTATAAGAGAGTCATTTGACAGCTGCATCATTTAGCAAGGGTGGCAACAGGGCAAATGTAGCGGCTTAATCCAGGTATCTATGTCACTGCATGCATCCAGATTTTTTCATTGCCCGAAGCTAGCTGGCTGTCATTAGAGATTCATTCTGATTGGCAACAAGGACGGAAACATAGCTTTCAATGGAGAGTGCAGGAGATCAGCACCAAACATACTGAAAAATGGCAACCTGGTGAAGCTATCAAACAGGACTGCATGTGTGACAAACAACATGAGCAGCAAGTGATAGATAGAGCTAAACTATCCAAGGCTAACAGGTCTAAGCTCTGCAGTCCTAACATGTCCAGTTGTGAATGGTGGTGGACCATTAAACAACTCATTGGAGGAGGAGGATCCTCAATGATAGGGGAGCAGCAATCTTCAGTGAGAAGCACTGAGTGGATGATCCATCTCAGCCTCCTCAATAGATCCCCCCAGCATCACAGATGCCAGTCTTCAGCCAATCTGATTCACTCTATATGATATCAAGCACACATAAAGGCACTGGTTGCTGAACAGGCTTTGGGAGCTCATAATAATCTGTCAGTAGTATTGCAGAACCAGCCATGCCCCTAGCCAAGCTGTTCCTGTCCAACTACAATGATAGCATCCATTCGACAATGTGGAAAATTGTCCAGGTATGTCATTTCACAAAAAGCAGGAAAAATCCAACTCAAACAATTACCGCCCCATCAGTCTACTCTCAATCATCAGTAAAGTGATAGAAAGTGTCATCAGCCACACCTGCTCAGCAATAACCTGCTCAGTGAAGCCCAGTTTGGGTTCCACCAGGGCCTGACCTCATTACAGCCTTGGTTCACACATGGACAAAAGAGGTGAATTGTAGAGGTAAGGTGATGGTGTCAACGCTTGACATCAAGGCTACATTCGGCCATGTGTGGCATCAGGGAGTCCTAGCAAAACTGGAAACTATGGGAATCAGAGAAAAAGCTCCCCACTGTTTGGAGTCATACCAGGAAGAGATTGTGTTTGTTAGAGGTCTGTCACCTCCAGGACATCTGTGCAGGAGTTCCTCAGGGTAGTATCCTAGGCCAAACCATCTTCAGCTTCATCAATGGCCTTCCTTCCATTATTAGGCCAGAGGTGGTGATGTTTGCTAGTGCTTGCACAATGTTTAGCGCCATTCACAACTCCTCAGATACTGAATCAGTCTTTGTTGCAAGACTTGGTCAATATCCAGGCTTAGGCTGACAAGTTGTAAGCAACATTCACACCACACAAATGCCAGGCAATTACCATGCCCAACAATAGCAAATCTATCCATTGGCATTGATGTTTAATTACCATCACTGCATCTCCCAATATCAACATCCTGGGGATTACAGTAGACCAGAAACTGAACAGGATCAACCATATACAAATCGTGTCTACAAGACCAATTCAGATATTAAGAGTTGCACAATGAGTAAATCACCTTCTGACAATCCAGTTCCTGTCCACTATCTACAAAGCACAAGACAAGAGATTGATGGAACACTTTCCATTTGTTTTAATGACTGCAGCTCCAAAAACACTCAAGACTCTTGTTTTAATCGAGGACGTACCTTGATTGATGCCCCGTTCACCACCTTCAACATTCAATCCCTCCACCACCTCAGTGGCAGCAGTGGGTATCAATTACAAGATGCACTGCAGTAACTCACCAAGGCTCCTTGGATAACACTCTCCAAATATGTAACTGCTTTCATCTAGAAGGACAAGGTCAGCAGATGCAAGGGAACATCTCCAGGTGTAAGTCCCCGTTCGACTTGGAAATATATCAACATTCCTTCAATGTTACAAGGTTAAAAATATGGAACTCCCTCTCCAATAGTATTGTGGATGTCCCCACAACCCAAGGACTGCAGGAAGAATGCACCACTGACTTCTCCAGGCTAACTTGAGATGTGCATTGAATGTTGTCATAGCCTGCAATGCCCGTATCTCATGATCAATTCAAGGAAAAGAAAGTACATGGCAGAGGTGTATGCTTCAATAGGATGATCCTCACGGCAAATGAAGGCTAAAGCCCCATTCTGGTGGGGAGCCATAACTGAAGAAGTGTGTGGAGGGTTCAGAAGTCTTTATAATCCTATTTGTGGTCTTCTGGATTGTCTTAAAGTACTCCAGTGATCGGAAATCATGACCTATGAGAATATTACTTTGAAGTCATTTTGAAATGAGTCATGTCAAAATGTTACTTTCCAAGGTAAATGTCCTGGATATTGAGCACACAGGGTGGAAGAGACAAACACAGAGAATGCTGGAGAAATGTAGCAGGTCCGGCAGCACCTGTGGAGAGAAAAAAAAAGAATTAACGTTTCATGTCCAGTTGAGAGAGATTCGTGGGCAGTCCACTGAAGAAAATTGGAGTCTTCATCACTATCCAAAGCCCTAGACCACAAATGCATGCAAAAATGTTCATTGCCACAGCAAATTAGACTCAGTGAATAATCTGCCACACACTACCACTATCACTTAAGATTTTACTGCATCAGTGTGATGATGCACACAACCCCACAACCAAAAGCTCTCCATTCATATGAGTTGAGAAAATATCATAGAATCATAGTCATAGAGACATATTGCACAATCTAACTCGTCCATGCCGACCAGATTAATCTACATTAACCAGACTAAATTAATCTAATCCCATTTAACAACATTTGGCCCATATCCCTCCAAACTTTTCCTGTTCATGTACCCATTCAGGTGCCTTTTAAATGTTGTAATTGTACCATCCTCCACCATTTCGTCTGGCAGCTTATTCCATACATGCACCATTCTCTGCATGAAAAAGTTGCCCCTTAGGTCTTTCCCCTCTCACCTTAAACCAGTGCCCTCTAGGTTTGAACTCCCCTACCCCATGGAAAAGAGCTTGTCTATTTACCCTATCCTTGCCCGTCGGGATTTTATAAACCCCTTTAAGATCACTCCTCAGCCCCTGACACACCAAGGAAAATAGCCCCAGTCTATTCAGCCTCCCCCTATAGCTCAAACCCTCCAACTTTGGCAACATTCCTGTAAATCTTTTCTGAACCTTTTCAAGTCTCACAAAATCCTTCCCATCAGAGAGAGATCAGAATTGCTCCAAAAGTAGCTGAACCAATGTCCTGTACAGCCGCAGCATGATCTCCCAACTCCTATACTCAAAGCACTCACCAATAAAGATGAGCATACTAAACACCTCCTTCACTATCCTATCTACCCGCGCCCCCACTTTCAAGGAACTACAAACATGCACTCCAAGGCTTCTTTGTTCAATGACATTCCCCAGGACCTTACCATTAATTGTGTAAGTCTTGCCCAAATTTATCTTTATCGATAAAAGACTTCCCAGATTTGTTAACTTGTCTTTATTCTGTGCTGCTAATGGGCCTGTCTTCACTGGAGAAGTTCTGAGGGAAATGATGACGATAACGACAGTTCACCAGGTGGTCTCTAACCACTGGCTCTCATACCTTCTGTGAGTATTTAGAGAAAAACAGGCAGGATGATTGAATATGCTGTTTAGGAAAGTGTCTCTCTGAAAGGTGAGGAAAGTGATTGGGATCCGTATGATCCCCTGAATATGTGGTGTCCTTTATCACTGTGAATAGACACATGTTGGTTAGCTCAGTTGGCTGGTTTATGGTGAAGAGTGATATGAACACTGGCTGAGGTTATCACGAAGGACTCTCTTTCTCAACCTCTCCCCTCACTTGAGTCTTGGTGACCCTCAGGTTAAACATCACCAGTTGTCTATGGTCTGTTATGACCGTAGT